CCCCCCCGGGTGTCCCCTCGCTGTCACCCCCAGGCCATTCCCCCTCCATCGCCCCCCCGCGGTCACCGCCGGCACTGCAGCGCTGCCGCTCAGCGGGGCTGATGAGGGCGTTAATGAGGGGCGTTAATGAGGAGCGTTAATGAGGGCAGGGTAAATGGACGCGGCAATGAGGGACAGTAAATGCGGTTGGTGAGGGAGTAGTGTTAACGAGCAGTGCTGCTAATGAGGGGCATTAATGAAGATGGGCGGGGCAGGAGTGAGCCAGAGCTTCAGTGATGGGGGGGGTTAATGAGGGAGGGTGCTAATGAGGGGCGTTAATGAAGGTAGGTGCCAATGAGGTGAGCTTTAGGGAGGAGTTTTATTAAAGGGGAGCATTAATGGAAATGTTAATGAAGAAGCATTAATGAGAAAGGTTAATGAGCTGGAGGTTATGACGTGAGGGTGCATTAATTGACACAGAGCACAGAGCAGGGTTTACTGGAGGGCCTGGCCCCGTTAGTTTAATTAAGGGGGTTAATTAATGAGCTCTCGTGCCAGGCACGAGGCTGGCAGTGCAAGCCACGCCCCTGGCCCACCACGCCCCGCCCCTCCCCTGTCAATCACTGATGCCCCGCCCCTACACAAACCCCGCCCATCACATATCAAGCCTGTGAGACCCCGCCCCTTGTCCGAGGCCCCGCCCCTCGGCGGGTTCGAGTTTCATGATGGGGCAGGGGCGGGGCGATCTCCGGACTGACGGCAGCCCTGACCAATGGGAAGCGTCGGGGTGGGACTCGGAGCCGCACTGGCCAATGGGAAGCGGGGGCCGGGCGGCGCAGCCAATGAGGGTCTGGAGCAGGTGGTGGGCGGGGCCCGCGGGAGCAGCGGGCCCGTGAGGGGAAAGGCGGCGGGAGCGGGAGAGAGGTGAGGGGGAATCGGGATATCGCGATAGAGACCGCGATAGACAGCGGGGTACCGGGATAGAGACCGGGATATCGGGATAGAGACCGGGATATCGGGATAGAGACCGGGATAGACAGCGGGGTATCGGGATAGAGACCGGGATAGACAGCGGGGTATCGGGATAGAGACCGGGATAGACAGCGGGGTATCGGGATAGAGACCGGGATAGACAGCGGGGTATCGGGATAGAGACCGGGATAGACAGCGGGGTATCGGGATAGAGACCGGGATAGACAGCGGGGTATCGGGATAGAGACCGGGATAGACAGCGGGGTATCGGGATAGAGACCGGGATAGACAGCGGGGTATCGGGATAGAGACCGGGATAGACAGCGGGGTATCGGGATAGAGACCGGGAAAGAGACCAGGATATCGGGATAGAGACCGGGATAGACAGGGGCGCTGGGCGGGGGGGGCGGGGACGGGTCTGGGGTCTCCTCCCCCTCCCGGGGGTGTCACCCGCCCCCCCGTGGGGGCGGGGCCTGGGAAGGGAGCGGGCGTTGCCATGGGACTGAGTGGGGGCGTGGTCTTCGAGGGGGCGTGGCCTGGATGTGTGATAGGACGTAAGGGGCGCGTCCCCTTAGTGGTCGTGGCCTCTGAAAGGGCGCGGTGCTGGCGTTACCATAGCGACAGAGGGCGCGCGGGGTTGCCATGGGGACGGGCGCGGCCTCTGGGAGGGGGGCGTGGTCAGTTGCCATGGTGATGCGGGCGCGGCTAAAGAAAGGGGCGGTACCGGCGCGCCGTTGCCGTGGTGATGGGGGCGTGTCCTGAGGAAAGGGGCGTGGTCAGGCAGGGGAGGGTTTTGGGGGGGCCGGGGGGGGCGTGGCCGGGCCAGGCCCGACCCTCCCCCATTCCCGGGGGTTCGGGAACAAAGCCGGGGACACGGGCGGTACCGGGACACCGGGGGAGGGGGACACGGGAGGGGACAGCGGGGGGGGGCGATGTCCCCCGGGGGGCCCGGCTGGGGCTGGGACCCCCCGTTCCAGCTGTGGGTGCAGGCGCTGCTCTGGGCGCTGCTTTTGGGGCGCCTCCTCCGCTACGGGGGGGGGCAGGGCCGCGGGGAGCCCCCCCGGGAGCAGCTCGGGCCGGGGGATCCCCAAAACCGGGGAGGGACCCCCCAGAGTGAGCCCTGATTGGGGATGGGGGGGCAGAGGGACACCCCCAAGGTCCCTCCTTTTCCCCCCGAGCCATTTGGGGGGTCCCTGCCTCAGTTTCCCCGATGGGGGGGGGGGTCACTGGTCTGACTGGGCCGTACTGGGAGGCCCCGGGGACAATTCTGAGCCCCCCGGGGACAGCGCCCAGCGACAGCTCCGGACACGGTGAGGGGGGGCCGGGGGATGTGGGGTGGCCTCGGTCCCTTTTGGGGTCCCCCCTGTCCCCTCCCGCTCCTCGGGGTCCTTCTGGGTGTCCCCAGTCTGCTGGGGGGGGCTCGGTGTTTTGGGGTGTCCCACGTCCCCTGGAGCAGTTCCATGTCCCTCTGGGGTGTCCCCTGTCCCCTGGGGACCCTCCCACATCCCCCCGTCCCCTCGATGTCCCCAAGGTCCCCACTCCGGTGCTGTCCCTGTCCCCCCCGGTGGTTTTGGGGTCCCCACAGTCCCCAAAGTGGGGCCAGCTCGGGGCACGGGGTCCCTCGGCTGGGGACAGAGGATAGGGGGGACACGGGGACAGGGACAGAGGGGACAGAGGGGACAGTGGGGACACTTTGCCATGAGGGTGCTGGAGAGGCAGAAGGTGACACCGGGGGGACACAGGAGGGGACATCAGGGACACAGGGGGGGACACGGGGGGACAACCCCAGCACAGGGAGGTGACAGAGGACGGGGCCTGGGGAATGCAGGGGTGGGGGGACACTGGTGACATCGGCTCTGGGGACATTGCTGTCCCCAGCGTGTCCCCAGGGTGGGGACACGTGTTGGTGTCCTTGGCCTCGAGGGGACATTGCTGTCCCCAGGCACAGGGAGGTGACCAGGATGTCCCCAGGATGGTGGCAGTGTCCTCAGGGCTGTGACAATGTCCCTGTCCACAGGTGTCCCCGGTGTCTCCAGATGTCCCCCAGGTGTCACACAGATGTCCCCAGATGTCCCCCAGGTGTCACACAGATGTCCCCAGGTGTCCCCAGATGTCCCCCAGGTGTCACACAGATGTCCCCAGGTGTTACACAGGTGTCCCCAGGTGTCACACAGGTATCCCCAGGTGTCCCCAGGTGCTGCATCACACAGATGTCCCCAGGTGTTACACAGGTGTCCCCAGGTGTCACACAGGTATCCCCAGGTGTCCCCAGGTGCTGCAGCCAGAGCTGGGACCTTCCCCTTCCTCACACACCTCCGGTGGCCCCCCAGGGTGTGTCCCCGTTGTCCCCAGGGCCTCCAGTGGCCCTCCAAGCTTTGTCCCCATTGTCCCCAGGTGTCCCCTCTCCCCCCAGGATGGTCCCCAGGGCCATCCCTGTCCCCCCCAGGCTGTCCCCAAGGTGTCCCTTGGGCTGTCCCCAAAGTGTCCCCTGCCCCTCCAGAGGGTCCCCGAGGTGTCCCCTGTCCCCTTGGGGTGTTCCAGGGGGGTCCTGGGGGTTCCTTGGGGACTTTTGGGGTCTCTGGGGGGTTTTGGGGGTTCCCGGGGGGGAGGGATTTGGGGAGGTTTTGGGGGATTTTGAGAATTTCTCTGCCCCTCAGATCCTGCTGAGCTTTGAGGACCTGCAGGACCTGAGCCCAGAGCACCGGGGGGACCCCGAAATGCACAGCTGGGCCCCAAAACTGCACAGCTGGACCCCAAACTGCACAGCTGGACCCCAAAACTGCACAGCTGGGCCCCAAACTGCACAGCTGGACCCCAAACTGCACAGCTGGACCCCAAAACTGCACAGCTGGACCCCAAAATTGCACAGCTGGACCCCAAACTGCACAGCTGGGCCCCAAAATCCTATAAAGCACCCCATAAAGCCTGAACCCCCAGACCTGGAGATACCCAAAGTACACCTGAACCCCGGGGGGTCTGGGGGGTCCCAGGGCTGGGATCCCCGGTTTTGGGGTGTCCCAGGGTGATGATCCCGCGTTTTGGGGTTTTGGGGTGTCCGCCCTGTTTTAACCCCCCCAGGTGAAAGCCCCCCCCGTTTGTCCCCAAATGGGGGTCCCCAAAACCGGGGGGGGTCCCCAAAAGCCCCTGTAGGGGGGCCCAACCCCCCCAAGGCTTCATTGTAAACGAGTTTGGGATGAATCAATAAAGTTTGGGAGAAAAATAGGGTTTGAAATGTTGGGGTGCTCCCAAAGTGGGGGTTCCCATGGATCTGGGGGGCACCCCGAGGGTTTGGGGTGTCCGTGACTTTGGGGGGCCCTGGAATTGGTGTGACCCGTGGGTTTGGGGGGCTCCATGGTTTTGGGGTGACCTCATGGGTTTGGGGGGGCTCCATGGGTTTGGGGGGCTCCATGGGATCGGGGTGACCTCATGGGTTTGGGGTGACCCTGTGGGTTTGAGGTGACCCCATGGGTTTGGGGGGACCCTGTGGGTTTGGGGTGACCCCATGGGTTTGGGGGGCTCCGCTGGTTTGGGGGGCTCCATGGGATCGGGGTGACCCCATGGGTTTGGGGTAACCCTGTGGGTTTGGGGTGACCCCATGGGTTTGGGGGGACCCTGTGGGTTTGGGGGGCCCCATGGGCTCACGGGGTCCTTGCAATTGGGGGTCCCTATTTTGGGGGGGCCGGTGGATCCCAGCGGTGGGCGTGGCCTCCAGCAAGGGGCGTGGTTTAACCCGATGGGCGTGGCCTTTTCTAACTGGGCGTGGTTTAAACAGATGGGCGCGTCTTAATGCCGTAGGGGCGGGGCCTCTGGACATGGGCGTGGCTTCCAGCGGGATGGGCGTGGCTTAATCGCCGTTTGTGGGCGTGGCTTTCGGTGGGCGCGGCCGCGCGGGGCGGCTCCACCCCGAGGCGCGCGCGCGGCGGCCGCGGCTCCTCCTCCGAGCGGGCGCGCGCGGGCGGGGCGGGGGCG